GCTCGATTTACTTGATGGAGAACTCTAAGCTGTCAGGTCTTAGGGGACCAAGCGATGCGGCGGGTGCGGTCGCTGGTGACGTTCGGGAGCGCAGCGGAGACGTTTTGCTCGTGTGGAAGGGAGGGGTGAAGGCGCTCCTAGTGATGGAGGAACCCTTTCCGACGATTCACTAGTTTTGGCGCTAGGTTGGAAAGGCAGCGACAATCACCTTCCCTTATACAAGAATGAACATAAGATTATGATGAAAGTTGAAGCAGGGAGTACAACATAAAAAGACAAATCCGGGAAGTGGTGGAATCCAGTGTTTTCATCAGTATCTAATCTAAAGCAGCTTTTGAGTGGTACTGTACAGATGGAGGGGAATGATATGGCCGGTGCTCCAGTCGGACAAGCGCCATCCATAGGGGGTGAGGATTGCGACAGAACTGACCCGATGAGGGCAAAAAAGAATTGTGGCCATTGATGGAAGGAAAACTCTAACTCACTGACATGACAGTTGCACACTTACTGTGTATTTCCTGGGGCCATGTTACCCAGTTCCATGTTGGTGAGTGGGAGTGTAGGCCGTGAGTGGCAACATGGCAAGTCGGTGGATAACCATCAGTCTTCCTTTGAAGGTTCATCAACAGTCAAGGACCCGCCCCAAGCAGCTTGGAATGGGATCTTATTCCACTTTCAGCCCTAAAAAGTTGTAGCGCAAAGCGTGCGTTCAAGCGTGGACACTGCCTTTTCGGGGGGCTCCTGCCACGAAGAGATTCCACCGATCTTCGAGAGTCACCTTAGTTGTTGCACAACCTCATTGACTCATGGTACTTGGCCAAGCGAAAAAAGCCCAGCAAAACCGCTGGTCTCTTGCCCCCACGCAACACCTTTCCTGCCCCGCTGGGGCACACCACTCAGGTTGGGCACGCCCCATCAGCCGCCGCCCGCTGAGTCGGTGGTGGCCGCCTTGGACCAGACCCGTCGGCCACTCAGGGGAAGCGGCAGCTCGGGGCAGCTGGGTGGGGAGGAGCTGGGTTTCAGGTGGCTTTGAGGTGGAAAGGGCCGAGATATGTTGGGGGAATCAGTGTTGGGATGGGTCAAGAGGCGTGTGAAACATGTAGGCTGGGTCAAGAGGTTCTTCCTGGCTGCAGCCAGGCCCGAGCACTGGAAGAATGGAAAACTGATGAAAACTGGAGTGAGTGAGTGGGCAGCTTTCATCTATTTTCATTTATAATTGAGCTTTTCTTTTCTTCACTTCTAACATAGCAAAGCTGGGAATCTCTTTGTGCGAAGGCGTTAAGTTGATGAGAGCTATTTGTTGTTCCCCTTGTTGGCCAACAATGGCCCGTCCCACCCAGCCGAAAAAGGAAACGTTTCACCTCTTCCAGGTGGTCTGCTCACCTACATCAACGAGAAATTTCCTTCAGGCCAGGAGAGGGACCTGGGGGTGTGTGGTGACCCGGTGCGGAGGTCGATCGCCACTGGCGCTCTATGCCAAGCCTATCCAAAGCCCACATCTCTTGGAAGTTCAACAGATGTTCCTATACTACACACCAAAGCCGAAGAAGAAGCCGATTGGATCAAGAGTTTTGGCTGATGCATGGTCCTGTATGTAGCAGGGAACAACATGAAACAAGATCGAACAGCACCCATCAAAGCTTTGGAATTTTGCCAAAGCCTCTTCCTTTTTCAACCAGCAGCAAAAGACCGGACCTTTCTAGTCCATTCTGGTCCTTTCCGGTTCGGCACCCGCAGGTTCTCCGCTGAACACCTCGCTGGTGACGTGCGTGGCGGGTTCTGGGACCAAGACCCCTGCCTCGATGGAGGTGATGATGGAGGGCGTAGGCGGGCCCGCGCGGCGGATCCGACCGAAGGAGATGAAGGAGAGATGTGAAAGGTTTCGGTGTCGAAGGCTGAGGTGGTTTTTGGGAAGCTTGCAAGTGGTCTAGAGTGGTAAGGTAGATCGGTAGATCCATAAAAACCCGCCCATTTGGGATGCTTGAGGATCGCACTGTGAGGTTTCACACATCACCAAGACCAGGACCTTCTTTGCCTTTTTTTTCAGCTTTTGACATTGCGCAGGTGAGAAGCTCTGGAACCAGACGCAAAACCGCAGCACCTTCTTGGAGGAGGCTCGTTGGGGGGCATGAGAATACTGTTTGGCTTTAAGTGCTCAAGCTTGAGTGTAAAGGTCGCGCCTGTTGCTTAGCCGTTCTAATGACCCGAAGAGCCAATCTTCTTTCACGATTTTTTTTTGCATCTCACACCTTGGTATGTCCCACTAACAGTGGCACCAGCACCTCGGGCCCTGCCCCAAAAAGCCCGGTAAGGCGCGTGCCCCGAGCCCGGGCACGCGTTCGGACATCGAGTCAGGTGTGGTGGAATTGGCCCCGGTGGCTGTTGCCAGTGATTTCGTCCGGGCGCAGGTCGTGGCCTTGGCATCTTACCTGCCGTTGTCGGGCAGCACCTTCGACGTCGAGGGCGACGGGCTGATCCCGGTGGAGACCGCGCTCATGGAAGGCCGTGGGAAGCGGTTGAAGCGGTAGAGCCGGTGGAAGCGGTGGAAGCGGATGATACTTTTCAGTACCTGCGTGGGTAGTTGGTTTCTCTTTCTGGCGAATCAGTGGGCCGATGAAGGCGAGTTCGCCGCGTCCACCCTCGGTGTTCCGGTGCCGCAGCGGACCTGAGAGATGATCTGATGCAGCAGTTGGTGTCTGAGTTGGGATGGAGGACTCCTGGCATCCTCCCTTGTTGGGAGGTTTATAGTCCGTTGGTTGGTGCCAGTGAGGGTCTTCACGGACACACTCCGAGCTGCATGGAGAGCAGATCTCGGCGCACTCACATTGTGACATGGGTGCATCCAGGCTAAGCTCGCTAAATCCTTTAGCGACGATCTATTTCACCCAGGGCAGCGATCAGATTTGTTTGTCCGGGCTTTTCACCTCAAATGCCCACTAGGAAAAGCAGCTGACCGCGCTGCTGACACCTTTTGTTCAGTAAAAGCCTTTGAACATGGAACGAAATGGGTCCAATGACCGAGCGTTGTGACCAGGCTGCCGCAGCGTTGTGACTCGGCTGCCGCAGCGTCACTACTGCACTATTGTCTACCCTATGGCCCTCTGGGACAAAGGGCAAACAGTTCTGGGAACGATATCCACCAGTTTTCTCAGGCTTTTGGGCGACAAACGCTTCATGAATGGATAGGGATGAACATTCCTGAGAGCAAGATGATTCTGGATGTGGGCCACGGGCCAAACCTGAAGGAGGGTCACGTCTCTTCGACGTCGGGATGAGGAGTGGACTCGATGGCTTCTCAATCAGACGACTCTGCTCATTTCTGCAGAATTCTAAGAGTCGAAACACTGAGCAGGCTTGGATGTGTAGCGGACTCGAGTTGCTGAAGGCAAATTTGAGAGACTGTCATGGCTTGAAATATATCCATCGATGAACACTCACATTTGCCCTGGAGTTGACTAGTCACAGGGGCTTGGATCAATTGTTTAGAGTGTGGGGATACAGCGCCAGACTCCAAAAAATAGATTCTCCACAGGGGTTCTCTCACATTAACGCTATACTCCGCCTTAGACTGCCAGGTTAGAGAGACTCACTGATTTCCAAGGTCTTGGATGATTGCAACCATGTGCCTCAGCTAGTGGGAGATGGTCTGATGGGAAGGAATGCTATACAAAATTCATACAAATACAGGTTATTTATATAATATACTATAATGTCATATGTTACATTATACAATATATATATATATATTTGATTGAACTAAGCATGACTTTCTTTTGCATTATATCATATTATATATGACATATATTTGTGTATAATAACAATGTGTTATGTGTGTATGATAAATCACACAGTATACACAAACAATTTGGAGCGCTCTAACCGACTCTAACTGGCTCAAACCTGTTGCAAAGGAAGCAGTTCTTCTGCGTTCTGTTTTTTTTTCTCCGGTGTCACATTTTTACACTTGTAGGTTTCCAGCCTATGCCAGCGAGGACACAATTGATAAAGCCTTCCTCCGTGGTCAACTGCCCTGCAAAGACGATCCTTTTCCTGATTGCAAAAAGATCAGCATTTCGAGGAATTCCCAACCTCAACCCGTTTTTCTTCCATGAATTCTTCACGTCCAGTCTCTCGCTGGGTGGGCGAGGCCGACTTCGTGCCCATGCCCGGGGAGAGCTTGCGGTTGCCCAAGCGACTTGGGTGATTCCGTCTGGTTTGGCAAATGGTTGTGTGCGTGCAAATTTGCACAGGTCACAGGCCAATCCGAAGGAACCTGAATTCTGAGGTGCCCTTAGGGTTTGAAAGTGCATTTGTAGCGGGAAGCCATTGAATGCCACTGTCCCACAGACTCTGGTTCAGATTTGGGGATGGCCCATGTTTGGCCGTGTGAAGAGAACACTAGGACGTGCTGGTTTTAGATTCTGAGAGTAGAGCGATGGCCTCCACCCTAGTAGCGATGGCCTCCAACCTACTAGGGATGGCCCCCACATGAATTGGACTAGCTGCAATCTGAATACTGATCCAGCCCCAAGAGCTTGGTCTAAGGACTAGGAGAGACATATGATCTCAGTAGCGGTGCCTGAACCAGAATCACCCATAAAGCAGCGGCCTTGGCTGGGTTTTTAGGAAACTTCGCCGTTCGTTTGAGCCCCACTGGCTGGATGACAAGAAGAGTTTTTGCGCCCATTTGACTGTCCCCACCGGGCAAGGGACCAACTCCAGAACGTCCACCTCACGAGGTCCTACAAATGGTATGGCTCCGAGGGATTTATCGACGCGTGGGCCAAGTTTTTGTGAGGGACGGATTTCTTTGGGTGCGAGATTCCATGTCTGAAGGGGCTTGCTTGGACTTACTTATGATGCCTACACCATGAGGTGTTAGGAGATGTGTTTGCATGTGGATCGTGATCAGAGGCGAAGGCTTTGGAGTCTTGTTCCTTTTTGCCGGTTAAATAGGACACGGTTGCATCAACACACGATGTTTGAAGTTCCTTCATGAAAAAGGCGAGAGCTGCGACCTCCTTGGAATCTTCGCTTGGATCTGCACCCAATTTTTCGAAAGGTGTTGTCACAGCACCAGGAGCCTATCCCTGCAAAGCAGGGATCAAGCCAGGTGCGGTTTTCCAAGCCCTTCCCATCATGGAAGAGGCTTGCACTTAGACTGATGGTGTGCAGGACATCGGGCAAAATGGCATGCACCCGGCAAACGCGCGCTCCAGTTGTGAGGTCTTTGCAGCATGTGGGTGTCGCAAGGACTTGACCAGTCGCTGGAGCATCGGGCATGCTCAAAAAGTCGTGGGGATTTTCCACCATCTCAGTTGGGGGAGGTTTTCCAGGCACTTCATGTGCGAAGGATCTGGGTGTGTGTGGGCCACGCGGCGCCACGCCGGGATCTAGAGACTGAGGCCATGTGTACTACTGGAGCTTTGGTGGCTGGAGGCGATGACGGAGATGGCTATGTGGTGATGGATGGAGGAACCTGGAGTAGAAGTAGCGAAGAAGCTGCAGGAGTTAGAGGCAGGTCCTTTGAAAAAGGAATCCATTAACAATCCAGAAACTCATCCAAATAGAATGGGCTGACGCCCTGGTGCCGCCGACGCCCTGTTGTGGGCATTGACATGGGTGTCATGCTTGCGACTTGGGGGTGTTGGTCTGGAACATGTTTTTGCCAGAAGAGAAAAACACCATGGAGAAAGAAAGCAAAGCAATCGGACCTGAAAAAGAAACACACACACACACACGCAGACATTCCTTCAAAGTTCTGCAGCCACCCAATGGCTTGGACCATGTTCGCCAAAGCACTAGACTTGCAAGAACTATTGACACCTGGGATGCTTGCTCAAAGAAAGAGAGCGTTTACGCGCCATCAGCGACATCTACTGTATATCAGGAATTTGATTCCATTTTGCATGGCAGCTGCCCATGCAAAGGTCCTTGAAGGCACCTTTACCACAGCTTTAGCCCATATTGTTCTGCGCACAAAGGCGGCCGGTGCCAGACGGCAGCCTTCGAAAGGGGGGGAGGGGAAGGGTGAGGCTTCCACCGTGCGGTGTGGGCACTGCCCCGGCTTGGACTGAACGCTCCGTCACCCGACCTGCGCGAGGTATCGGGACTGGCGTTTGGCCGTGGGCATCGGCTCCTTGGGGCTGCTGATCGCAGCAGGGATCACCTGGGCCACGGACTAAGAACACAGTCACCAGCATTGGTTGACGACATCTCCACCTCACAGGGATTTTGGATGACAGCACGGTGTCTACGTGTTTTGAAAGAATGGTATTGCTGCTCTGGCAGAGAACTGTGGTCTGACTGCAATGGGCTTTCTTTTTTCTGAGGTTGCTGTCCTCATGTTCAGGCTCGGCAGTGGAAGAGAGCATGGCTTGACTGAGACCACAATAAACCAAGTGTTCCTGACGTCATAGCATCACGGATGCTTTTGCACCTCAATTGACCGCCTCTCGCTTTCCCTGGCCCGTTCTCCAATGAACGTTTGATCCCTAGAGTGGCCCATACTGTCATACATACGGTCAAAGACTGTCTACTGAAAATTGGTGGATGCTTTCTTTCACCTGGTTCAGGCGGAAGGTGCCTTGCCGAAGGTGGCTGGCCTTGAGCTTTTGCCTTTGGCCCGAGTGCCCAGGTGTTGCAGTGGATAGTGTAGATGCAGCAAGTCTTACAGTAACCAATTAAAATCATTTCCATCTCCATCATTTCCATCCGCCATCCACTTGGAGATCAAGAAGCATCTCACATATGCTTGGCTCCAGAACCACTGACACCCCCGACCAGATGTAGGGGTAGGTCATCTTGTTTTGCTAAGGGCGGGAGGCTTGGGTGGCCTCTGGGCTGGCGACCAGAACTATGGCCATCACATGATCAGCTTCTACACCTATCAGGTGCATTGACGCGTGGATTGTTCTGTAACCTTTTTAAAAGACACTCTGTACGTTGTTCTATATGATACAGGTTTATCCTCTTCGTACTTAGACATACTTCGACGATACCGAGCAATCAGGTGTCTAAGACACCTCTGCGGAAGGGCAGACGGATCGACCCCGGATGGAGCTGATGCACTTTCACAGATCGAACCCCTGGAATGTCGAGAAAGTGCTGGAGGAGAAGCCTCTGCGTTTGGTTGGTTCGTTTTTTTCGATTGACCAAGGGTCCCTTCCAGTGTGGGTGTCTTCCAGTGTGGAGATGCACACCGTTACTCCGGGCTGAACGTCAGTCCAGTGCGTGAAGTTCCCGCAAGAGGTTGCTCCTTGTGGGTCCGATGAGCCGGAGATTGATTGATTCCATCTGTTGGCAATGGCTCAACAACAGGGTACCACCCAAACCCACCCCAAAAACCACTGGTAAAACGATGAAGGGTGAAGACCATCTGTGGTTTAGCTGCCAATTCTTGGAGCCCAACGGCCAAACCCGGGCAACCGCTTCACACACCGACACTGCACGCACACGGCAGGACTTGGTCTCCTACACCGACGTAGATCCAGCGGCCGCCAAGGGACAGAGCTACATGGACTCCGGCGAGGCGATGCTTTTTGGTGGGACGCCGAGCCCAGGAAGAGTGGGATCACCTTCAATCACCTTGAAACACTATATAGTAAATCCTCCAAGAATCGCCTAGTATACGATCATAACTATAACCTTTCAAAATGGCCAAAAGAGAGCTAAATAAATGCAAAGGAGCGTCAGGAATGGGATTTGTGATGCTTCTCCCGCATGACGGAAGAAGGACAGGGAGAGCTTCCAATGCCTCTGTAAGAGGAGCGCTGGATGATTTGAGGCCTCAAGACAGGAACCCGTCCTTACTTGACACATCAAAGGCATCAAAGGCATTGCTCTCAGAGCCCGGCGGCTCGTGCGGGCGTGTGTGTGTGTGTGTGTGTGTGTGTGTGTGTGTGTGTGTGTGTATGTGTCAACCGCTGTTTCTAAGAGGTTTCTCCAATTTGATTAAAAGGGGGCAGTAGCCCGCTCATGAGTCTACTGCCAACGAAGCTGCTCATGAGTTGGGAGGATATCGCACTCCGACGTACCTGCATTCCTTTTTGTGGTGTTCCCAAGCTGTTACGCTACTCTTCCGGTAAAGTGCTAGCGAGTCACTCTTGTTAACCCTTTCTTTTGCGCCGATTGATCGCCTTGCGGTTTGCGAGTCAAGGGCCGAGTATTCACTTAAAGTGCTAATGCATCCTTGGGTCACCTTCAGAACTTATGCTCACCCCGGTAAGCTCTCTATCTAAGTGTGTGAAGCCCTTGGAGTCACAGGGAATCCGTTGGCTTGAGTTGGCTTTGCTTTTCAGCAGGGGGATGGAGAAGACGTATGAGGCTCCATCCAACGAAGCTCCTCATACGATCCTAGGATATCATCAGGGACGCCTGATGACGTACCTGCTTTGTGGTGACTTCTTAACTCCCACTGGGCCCCGTTTTAACTACAACAAGCTTGCCATTGGAGTTGGAGGCCGTTGAGGTTTCGAAGATGTTCAGATCACCTTACTTACACCTGTCCTGGCTCCTTAGGTTTTCTAATTACTTAGGCTGGCATGTGGCAAACCGCAAATCGCGTCAGTACGCATTATCTCGAGTGTGTGAAACCCTTGGAGTCACAGGGAACGATTTGTTTTTTTGCAGGGGGCATGCGGCCATCACGCAAACGCATGCCAACGAAGCTATGCGTGATGGTGGAAGCCAGGTTTGATCAACCTGATGTACCTGCAAACGTCCCACTCTACTTTTTTCAGGCTGTTTAGGTGGAGGTAGGTCGGCAGACTCTTCACGTTTTCGTCTTTCTTGTCGGTCACTCGGCCGTCGACCTTCTTCACCTTCTGCGGACCTGCAGGTGTATTTCAAAGAGGGCACGACGGTCGATACCAGCGAGGCAGGACAACTAAAACCTTCGATTTTCCAAGGGGGCCTTTTCTGACAGAACATGTCCGGCGCTCAACCGTTCGTGGCCCAGCAAAAGACATGAAGACGTGACCACGCTGGTTTGTATTGCTCCGTTGAATCATAGTAGTGGCTAAGGGGAATTCTAAAAGGATTTTGTGACCATCGGACCATCCTGTCTCCCAGATGGTCTCCTTCCGGAACCGCGTGAACTTCTGCGCGGCGCCCATCCTAGGAGCCCGACAAAAGGGGGTTCATGTGTCCATTGGAGGCTGTTGATAGGACTTACATGACATGACAAATGTTTGCTTTGGGTAACCAGAGACATGTTGGTTCTTGAATCGTGCAGCTTGAATCTTTGCAACCTTCAGAGGTCAGATTTGCAGGAGACCGACTCTTTCCAAATTGGGGGTTCATTTTTTTTGTTCACAAGCTGAGGATTTTTTTGGTGCAATCAGTCGCATGGATCCTTAGTCTCAAGCTCCATGCGACAGGAGACTCTTCATGCAACTCTCGGATTTCAATTTCAATGTCTCCTCTTTCAACGAAAAGAGAAGGATCGGTCCATTCCAAGGATCAGTCCTCACTTCCGACCAGTGGCGTCCATGGACCTGTGGTGTCAAGCTGATCCTGTCCCCCCCAAACAGACCTTGTTGCGAGTGACCCTTGTGGCATCTTGTGCCATCTTGTGCCTGTTGAAATCTGTGAGGACAGCCCCTGCGGAATCAGAAGGGCCTGCAGGAGGTGGGGCATTTGTTTCATGGGAGAGAGAAGCAGAGGAGCAGTAGCTTTACCCACATGAGCTCTCTGCGCAGTTTCCAATGAACCAGGAGGTCGCGCTATCATCTATAGTTTCAAGAGACGATGAGAAAGACATGAGCGAATCATCTTGGCGCGGAGATTGTACCTATTCGCCGTGAAGCTCATGTGGCATACTCTGAAACCACGTCTCTGTCTATCCAAGAAGCATGGCTCTGGTCTGAACATGGGTCCCCCAAATCGAACGCTGTCTGAAGACCCAGGTTTTTTCACTCAACTCCAGGCCAAGTTTCCCTCAAAAATCTAGGAACCAAATCATTAGCTCACGAGCTATCCAGCGTCCAGTAGGTAATAGCAAGCTCTATTGCTAGTAGCGTGTTTACTCCCTTACTTGATTGAGTAGGCGCCTACTTTAATGAAGTAGGAGCGGGCCAAACGGGCGGCTTCTCATCTTAGAGGTCCAGTCAGCGACATCGCAGGTGGCGCGCGAAGGGGACTTTGTGATGCCACAGGCCAGGCCAGATGGGTCATCACGAAGACCCGGGACGTCGTTTGAGATGGAGACATTGCACCTGAAGCACCGAAGCGGGGGGGCAGGACCATAGGCAGAATGATTTCATCGGGCAAAGCATGTGATGTTCGAAGTGCGAAGGTGCCATGGCCGGCTTCGCCATGTTTGGCTGCTTTCGATGTGCATTTGCGTTCAAGGCGACTATCGAGACTGTAGGTATGAAAAGCTGGGAACTCTTCCAACTGGAAGGTCTTGGTCCTGTTCCTTTGGAGTCTCGTTTCATTTCTTTTTACCATCCGCCTAGCTCAGAATTTCCTACCGGACCTTCTGGTGTTTGCTTTCCCCTCTTAAAAAGACCAGGAAGTCTTACGACCTCCCACCGGCTCCGTCCGTCCGGCTCGTCCGGCCCCGTCCGTCACGGGTCCGGCTCGTCCGTCCGTCGGACAGAGCGGCACCGTGGACTTCTGGGCCGTGGGCACGAACTGCTGCGACAAGGCCACGAGGCGAGCGGGACCGACGCCTTCGAAAAGGGGCGACCGTTGGGAGGAAGGCGTCCCAACACGGCGGTTTGGAGGACGTTGGCACCACGTCCGTTTTGGCTAGGGCCAGTGAGGGACCTGAGAGAGAGAGGTTCATGTGGCCTTGGGAGGTGTGAGGGGTTGATGGGGGTGAGATAGGAACTGCCGTTCGTAGCGTGCGAACTTGGCCAGCATTAGGGCTAGTCGCCTAGTCTGTTTAGTCACTCTTGGGATTGTCACCCGTTCGCCCTCGTGTCCAGTCTTGGGCGAGAAATTGACGGGGTGGATGAGAAGGACCATTTTGTCAATTTAAGCCAGCTTGGAACATAGACCTGTAGTCTTGTGTCACGCTTCATCATCGTCGATGCACTGTGTCCATCGCGGTTCCTCGAATGCCACATCAACGGATAGATAGAGCCTTCTGTGATCGTTATTGGGATGTGGGGAGGCTGGAAAGAGATCTGGAACTATTTTTCAACTTGAGAGCCGAAGCATGCCTCTGGTAGGTCATGAGATCCACACGGTTGGGGTGCAATAGATGGCCCCCCATTGGGCGAGCTCATCCTTCATCAAGCGTCCACCCCTGGGGACCCCGTCGCGGAACCAACGACACTGGGCGAAACAGCGGCGATGAGACACCTGAAGAAGGCATAGCCAAGGAGCCTTTTACATACTGGTTGATTGATTCATAGAGGGGATACCTGGTTGGTCCACAACCAATACGACCCCTCTGTGATTCCTAAGCACTTGCAGCAGCTTGTTGCTGCTTGGAGCACTTTCTCACTTCGCACGGTCACTCCACAGAGCTTCCAGGGAATTTACCTGCGGCGAGGCGGGAGAGCTTGTGAGATGCTGGGAGATATTATTGCTTCCTGTGCACGTCCCTGTTGAAGTTTGAGAACAAGGACCCTCCACAAGCGAAAACCATCCCACTTGCTCCACGGCGAACTGCACGGGCAGTTCGCCCACTTCTTCGTATTTGGTGCTTCATACCCTGAACCCAAACCGTTCTCTCCATCGCTCAAAAGGCTCTGAAACGGAGTATGTAGACCGTCGGAATGATGGTGGACTGGTTGGATGGACCTCAACAAACAGTCAATCCTCAAGACTCAGGGTCGGTCCTGAAGCTTCGCACAACCAACACAACATGTCTTAACGTGCTGTAAGGGTGTGGACTCCAGAAGCACCCTTGATTGGGGATTCGTCACATTGCCACTGGACGGGTGGCAACGTTGCCATGCGCTTCTTTCAATGGCTCACAGGCATATGTCTAACATGACCAATCCAGCTGGTGAATGAATCAGACAGAGTCGCTGATTGATGAGTGAACTCTCTTGCAATTTCGGATGGACGTAGATCACGACGATGATGTCTCTAAGTTCATCAGAGTGGCTACTGCAGTGTTCCTGGGTGTCAGCACCAATGCTTCTCATAGGCAAACTTTGTTGGTTGGAATCGCCGGACATTTGATTGGCCGCGTCCTTGGAAATCTTTGCAACCACTGCAACCCTGAACCCAAGTGATAATTCTCGGCCACCACGGGTTGTTAGAGATCATTGGACTAATCTTCCAGCATCTTCTTTCGCTCGTCATGAGTGCGTGGACAGCCTCTCAAGGCTGGCGGAACGTCGCGTCACGTTTCCTACTAACTCATGTAGCACGCGTCGCGCGTATGCGTCGCACCCAGGGTGAGAGTAAGGGCGTCTGGCCCCTCTGGTCACACCAGCCAGCTGAAAAGGATCGATTGCTTACTGATTAAACGCTGTAAACAGTGAACAAATTACCACTGGAACTACTGGTGTATCACACCTGTGAACATAGATTTCCACTGGAACACGGACACCGATCGGTTGGCTGATGCATGCCACATGTTTTCTCGCTTCGCTCGAGCCAGATCTGCTGGGCGCTACGGGCCTTGGACGTTGGAAGGTCTGGAGCTGAGACGTTGAGCCGGTGCGACTCGTTGCACAGGAGACTTGTGTTGCCTGCTGTCCGTGGGACAGCTGGGACAGATGTGGCGCGCGACTCGTTGGGACTTGGATGAGTCTTGGTTGCTATACCTCCAGACCAGTACACCAGTCAGTTGGTTGTTGGTCTTACCGATCTACTGGTGGAGGGAAGAGCAAGGTGAGATAACTTGGTTGAAGCAAATCAGTTGACTTAACATATCTAGATTTTCCTTATGACATTGGGTGTTTTGTTGAACCGACCTCAGTCACCCCATTGGATGAGGCTGCTGCTTTCAAGGGTTGACACGCAAGTGACTCTACAAGGTTGAAGGCCTCAAAACGTGGCAGACAACGAAGTGGTTGCGGCTGGTGCAGGGCTGAATCAACCGGCTGTTTGAATCTGCAGGGCCCTCTGAGCATTTCCAGCGATGGAGTTTCATCCATTTCCAGCTGTTTGAACCTTGCATTCCTCTCTGCACATTTGCACATGTGTTGGGTGAGCCACCAGTCAGGGCTGAGCGAGCCACCTCGAAGCTGGAATCGCCCGAAGCAAGCAGCAACCCCCCGCGCTCCATAGTCGGAATGTACATGAAGAGCACAGTAGACACTTGGCAGACCATGACGCTGCCAAGCTCTGACCATCTTGGTGCTTCTACTCCCTCAACTCTCCCACTCTGAACTCGACAGCGACAGCCGTGCGGTGGGCAGTGCTTCGATTCGGCTGCAGACCCTCCGCTTCGATCAGCGTCGGTTCGCTGGACAGGTGCTGGCTCGTCATGCCGGTCTATCAGCCTCCTACGTCTCTGCGGCAGTGGGTGGGATGCGGGGGGGGGGGGGGCAGCTGACGTTCCAGCTGCAAGGATTGGTTGGATTGAACCATCGAGGAATCTTCCAAGTCTTGAGTCCGATTGGGTGATGTTCCCTGTTTCCCCCCAAAACAGGGGGGTACAAGAGACATCACCATTGTACTATTGTACTGGAGATGTGAGGAGCTCAACAATGATGCAGTAGGTAGTCCCTATATATAGATGTCCCCAGGTAGTCTCTACCTCGCTCTCGTCCCGATCCTTTGGACTCCGATTTCGTCCCCGGGCCTTCCGGCGGCCTTCCGGCGCCAGGTGCTGCGCTCGTCGTCGGCGACCTGCAGGAGTTGTGGCGACAGGGTGAGGCTTTCATCGGAACGATGACCACATCAAACAACAAGGCCTCCAATAACAGGGTCTTGAGCTCAAACCAAGGTGCTTTCGGGCTTTTGTTCTGTGAAACAGCTGTTACCAGAGGGTTGTGGCATCCAACTGTTGAGATGTGCCGCAAGCGAGTGCGGAGTTGCCTTCACGCGTGATAGACGAGTGAGCTGTTTTGGAGTTGTTCATTCATGGCTTTGTAGTGAAGGAAAGGACGTAGATCAACACCAGTGATCTCATGGATAACATTTTGGACTTCGATGAGAACAATCTCCAAAACACTGCAGAACTCTTGGCCTTGCTCAAGGGAGGAACACTCCTGACAAAGCGCTGGGACTGAGGGGGTTGTTGGCTGCTCGCTGGTGTGAAGAATGACCAAAACAGTTGGCCTAGGTGAAACATTTGATAAGTCTATTCTGGAGGCATGACAAGCAGCCAGCACGCACGAAGATTGCACATGAGAAAGCACTGTATTGCTGGCAGGGGCAACCCCAATTCTGGAGTCATCAAGGGGTTCAGAAGCTGGGGCCCTTCTTTTTGAAGCTGCCAAGCATTTAACAAGCCGTTCATTTTCTTCGTCCAGTCGCCATGTGTTCCTTCCTGGTGAGCAGCTGGCTGCTGACGAATCTGACCTATGTCAACTTCTTCATGCGTCCGCGGGGGCCGGATCTCACCACCCGTGGCTCGGTGACGCGTACGAATGGAGTGGTACGACGAATGGAGAGATTGAGAAGCCAAGATGGGGAAGTTATGATCTCAGGTATTTGGTTTGGAGGACTAGCCATCGTCCAAGGCAGATGGATGTCTCCGATCATGAGTCCAGAGTGGACATAGCAATGGAACATCGTCCTGGTTCCTTGCAACTGATCCACAATGGCCGAGGTGAGAAAGGCCCAAATCTCCCATTACCAGTGCAGGGGTTTTATCCAATATCGACCATCTTGTATAATAATCCACCAACAGCAAACATGTCCAAGAAACATCAACACATCCCATGTAAGAAACATTATGTACGTACACTCCCACTGACTAACATGGACATGGAAAATGAGCTATCGACTACAAAACAAATATACTGGTGAGTGGACAGTATCAATTGTACTACCACCCAAGTGAACCAAGTATCCGCGACTTCAGCAGGTATCCACCTTCACAACTTTACCTTTGTCCACAACTTGCTTCACATGACAGGCGGACGGCGGGGATCATATTTTTGGGCGGATGGGTGTCTTTATTTTGGGGAGACGTGCGATGAAGTGAGCAGGGCAGCAGGCTGTGGAGTGCTGGACGCTCTTGATTCTCGCGGTTCGGATGCGTTTTGAGGCTTTCCAGAGCGATCTCACTGTTGGTTGAGTTGAATGACAGACTTCTCCATGATGCAATGAAGGCGCTCAAAAGAGAGCCAGGGCGCATTGTATCCGATAGCAGCAGATAGCACATATTTTCAAGCTATTGCATGATGTGCGCTGCTCTTCGCATCTCTCTGCTCTCTTCTGGCACGGCCCAACGATGCCTCTCCGGTTTCTGCGGTCAACTCGCGGTGCCGAGCCGGTCCACTCGGCGCATCTGGGCGCCGCGCGTCACGTGACCTCGGGGCGGCCACGATCCGCCCCCAGACCGCTTCGGTGGCGAATGAATGGATGGATTCCGCAGGTCTGAACCTGCAAGCAGTTCGTTTGGATCCCGAAGTCCTGAAGGTGCGAAGTGGAATGCCACAGCCCGACAGCTGTGGAAGATCCAATGTCTGCAGCATTTTGAAGCAAGGTCTCTAGTTTGTACTGCAGTAGTACAGAGGCCTTCAGAGGTCCCTCGTTCATGAGTTTCCTCCACTTCGGGTGATTTCCTTTGCTGCTTGCGCCAGGTGAACGCATCCCACAGCCCTTTGTGAGTGATGACCAGCAGGCCATGGCGGCCATGGTTCATGGGGAAACGCAGCCAAGATTCGTTTCAAGGCTCTGGACAACACAGACCAAGTGTCTACAGTGGTCATTCGAATCTGGTGCACCCGGGAAGAGACCCACATTGAACCTGATGGCATGGACCTGAAAGGAAGATGATTTTCCTCTACAACCCAGTGGTCTTCAGGTTCCATGCTAATCTTCCAGGACGTAGATCAACATCATGAAAAGCATTCCCCCCGCCGTGTTTCTGTTTCTTCACGTGTCCTCACAGGTGGTGGTGCTTTACAACGGGGAGATCTATAATTTTCGATCTCTTTGGCCCGACTCCGCCAGTGATGGCGAAGCACTGCTGCCGCTCTACCTGCGTCAGGGGCACCTCTTTCCACGTGCCTGCGCAGGAAGATCCGGTGGATTGGTGAAAAATCCCACCAGGCGCTGAAAGCCTTCCGAGTAGTGAACAGACTTTCTGAGTTGAAACAAGGGTTGTTCGGGATTCAAACCATTAAGGCAAGGGTGAGCCAGGAATTCGAGGGAGAATTGGCCGCAGTCCAGGAATCGCGGACCTGGTGTTGAAAAGCCCTGTTCTCTCCTGAAAGCTGGTGCACTGCTACACTGACTGAAACAATCAAGGAAGTGGATGGCATGGGCCCTCGGATGATCATTTTCCGAATTCCAAACAGAATCGTTTTCCACTCCCATGTTAATGACTCTGAGTGCGCATAATTTGATCTCTTCGACAGGAGCTTCTGTAAATGAAGTGTGTTTTGTGAATGATCGTACTTAGTGGTCAACAAATGGTAGAAGAGAATCTATTTGCACTTTTGGGGAGGTGCTGAGAGGAAAAGCACTGGGTAGTACCTGCTGGGTAGTACCTGCTTTTGTCAGCTCTAAGTCGATCCCCCCAAAACCGCAAGAGCTTCCGGATTCGGTCGCCCCTGCATGTCGTGTTTTGCCATATTATTTTTTGCAGGAATGTGAGTATATAAGTTCATGTGAGCCAGTTGGTTTGTGTGTAGCCCTAGGGAGCCTTTTTGGCTTGTTAATGTGCGACACACCGTTTCAGTGGACCGCGCGGAGTGAAGCTACCAGTGAAATGGGATATCCAGCTTGGTCAGCTGGACGTACCTGCCTTTGGAAGCAAGTGTGGCGCTTTGTAACCACGTCGTCCTCTAGAATTTTGGCTGGTGAGGTGGAGACAGGTCTGCTTAGATTATACCAGCTTGCGTTTTACTTTGTACTGCCTGGTTTAAGGATCTTTTTTCCCCGAGGCTTCAGGGGTTGGAGCAATCAGATCGAACGCATCATACATTGAGTCTGTGTGTGTGAGTTGGTGTGAGCAAGTTGCAGTGTGTGACTTGGTGTGAGGAAGTTGCGAATTAGTTGGTGTGTTTAAGTTGGTGTGAGTGACTTGGAGTGGGTAAGTTCATGTGAGTGAGTTGGTGAAAAAGTTATGTGATGATGTCAGGTGGGAGCGACAAGGAGCAGGAGGACGTCGGGAAGACCCGAAGAAGAAGTAAGCCCCCACACTAGCATGTGGGGAATGAGAAGGTTGAAAGCAACAAAAGAAACAAAGGCATGAACGGTAGGCAGCCGTCAAGAAAAGAACGAGAACGTCACCACACCAAGAGCAACATCTACAAGTCTTCGTCCTGAGAACCCTGTGATTTTGTACCAGCGAATAGTAAAAAATGGTCCACACGGAACGACTCAAGACCTTATTGACAGTAAGCCAACGTCTGAAAACAACTTAACATCCATGTCACCAAAGTGCAAGGATGCAAATTTTAGCTTGCTGTGGGGACGTGTCAAGAATTTGGTCACAAAAACATTAAAAAGACAACAACCGGATCCGTCCATATTGCCCAGTAAGCCCCCTTTGCTGAACTTGAGAAAATGAACCGGAGAAGGTGGAACAATGACCTTCTTGGACAGGGTGAATCTTGACTTGGACATCATTCCAAGGACTCTTGGATGGCGAGTTTGCCCTGGCCCTGCTGGATTTCCGCCAACGCCAAGCGGTGATCTCCACCGCCACTGGGCGGATCTCCAGTGCTGGGGATCGAACACATCCGCGGCTCAAGCTGGTGGGTGATCCATTTGGGCCGGTGGAGTTTCGCTTTCCGCCGTTTCGGATGAAGCCGGCAGTACATGGTCCACCTCGTTTGTTTTGTCACCGAAATGGAAGAGGAGAACTGACCTGAGGAGAACTGCCACCAGAAAATGAAGGAGGGTATGGGTCAATGTTTATCTCCACCGTGAGTCACGTCGGGGACAAGAATCGCTAAGTAAGTGGATGCTGCAGGTTCCTCACTGGTTGGGGTGCCGTTAGTGGTCGAACCGATTTCAGTTGTGTCTGTCGTTTCTTGGTTCAAAAAAGGTCAAACCATGACCTTGGATGACGTTGGATGACCTTGGTACAAGGGTTCTTTTTCAAGTGGACCAAGAGGCGGGCCAGGCAGGGGAGACGCAGCCAGGCAGCTTGGCCCAAGGACCTGGGAAAAAACACAGCGCTTCGCTTCCCGGTCGATGCCCGCCTCCGCTCTCCCGAGGATATTTTCTCCACGAAGCCCTTGTGGTTCTCGACATACCAAGGCGTGCCCGGGCTTTACTACTAGTAACAAGGACGACGCTACTAGTATATAGCTCCTGGCCTTACTACTAGGAAGAAGAAGCTACTAGGGTGGAGGCCCAGGAAGAAACGCCATCCTCTCAGTCTCCCAAGCTTGGGGATTTGCCCACCGAGCCATTTTGCCCACCGAGCCATTTGCCCAAGAGGAGAAGATGGTCCCGACACCCCTCACCCAACTTTGTGATGGAACTCATCTACCCGGGTGAAATCCATGATTCCTTTTGCAAGTCTCTCGACCTTCAAGCAAGGGGGCTCGTCCCCAGCCACGAGGTATGGACCATGCTCCTTTAAAAACAGAACTGGTTCGGCAGAAGCTCTGAAGCGAAAACTGCGGAGAGCAGGAAGACGCAGCCGGTTGGGAAATCCGCCCAAACGCCTGTAACATCCTGTAATCTACCCAGTGCCTGCCAGGAAAAGTGGATGGCCCTCAACA